TTCTTAATTTTTCGCAATTTTTTTGTTTGTTTGTGTTTTAAGGTTACTGTATGTCTTTGCTCAACACAACGTTGATTGCGGAGTCATCCTTTATTTACAGGGAGGTGGATGGATATGAGCTCAACGCTTATGCATTGAAGGCCTAGAGACTGGTCCGTCTCTCTCCTGGAGGAGATACTGATGTCTATGGGATGTCGTTTACGGACGATGAGGCTCGAGCGCTTTGTTGGGAGAAGTGAAATGAAATCGTCTTCGACTCGTTGTCGACAGTATCATCGTCGTCGTCGTCGTCATCGTCGTCGTCGTCATCGTCGTCGTCCTCCTCCCCTTCCTCGTCTTCGTCCTCCTCAGACGAAGGTTCTGCCAGGACCTTTTGGGTCCGATGTCCACCGTTTCTGGCCTCCAGGCTCTGACCCGTGTCCCCGTTATAGGACATCTGGTCCGCCTTCGTCTGCGGTATCCTCCGTGCGTCGTCCTCCCTCTTCAGCTGGATCTTCAGCTTGGTGGAGTTGCTGTGCACCACCGGGGCGAAGCCGTTATTCAGTTTGGCGATGTACGAGCTGCCTTTGTCCTTATCGTGGTCCTTGCTGAACTTGATGCTGATTTTGCTGGAAGAGGCCGAGTTGACCGTCGAGGCAGAAAGGTTGGAGGAGCCAATGGGGTCGTTGGCGTCATTGGTCTTGCTACTGCTGCTGTCCCTCCGCCGGCGGAGCGTCAGTTTCGGGATGCCCGTGTTGTTCTCCAGGATCAGCTGAGCGTCGTATCGCGTGATCCGCCGCTTCTTCTTCACCTTTTCCTGCGACCGGCAGCTGCTCTTCCCCTTGTCCCTGCGCAGGGACTTGCTGCTGTTGGCCACGCCGTTGTAGTCCCTGTGCCGGTCGGCGAAGCTCAACAGCACATTACCACAGTCTGAGAAGTTAGTGGTGTGGCCAGCAGCCACCGGCATGAACGGCTCGCCGTACGAGTCCTCGCGTTTAATCGTCCGCTCGGTCCTGAGCCGCGTCAGCCGTTTCCGCCTGGTGCACGAGCCTCTTCTGCCGTAGCCGCCGTCTAACGCCGGCTGCTCCAGTCCGACCCCGTGACCGAGGTACTCCTCCATGTCAGCCGGCTCCGTTTTAATGACCACTCCACCAGGGACTGGGCTCAAGCCGTCCATGGCACTGGGCTCCAGCTTAACGCCAGCGGCCGTTTCCTGCGCTTTAACGAGGGTCCGCGTGGACCTGCGAGTTCTGTACGTCGAACACTGGCTGCCCTCGCTGCTTTGCACGTGCGGTAGGTTGCCGTTCTCCTTGGCAGCGTGACGGGTGAGGCAGCCCCGCTGGCCTAGTGTCTGCTGCACCAGCTCCTGTCCGTCCTTCTCCTTCTTCACGGTGACACTTTTACACAGCGACACCTTCGAGTCCCTGAGACCCAGCTGACAAGTCTCTCCTTTGGCCAACGCCTTGGGCTCTGCACCCCTCCTGCGACTCCGCAACTGGACTTTACTTAGTGAAGGCTTGGATTGGGATTTTAGTCTCTTTGGTACCCTGTTATTGTTTACACGACCTTGTTTTGAACATGAGGTAGTAAGGGCTCTCGACAAAGTCTGTCTGGATTGAGTCCTGTTTTTATACTTCAGGCCAGATGATGATGATGTTCTTTTTCTGGCAGCTGGTGGGAAAAGATCAAAAGTTGCACATTATGTGTTAATAACATTTTATAAAACCCACTCACACACAAATGTTGGCAGGGTGACAGAATCAAATCTATTTTAAATATGCTAACTACATTAATAATAATAATAATAATAATAATAATAATACAGGGTTTCTGCAGGTTAAATTTAAGTTTTTAAAGCATCTTTACAGCCCAACAGGTGTTTTCAGTTCATCTGTTTAGATCTCTTCTGTGTCGGCAGGTAGACTTTCTCCTGAGTCTCCGGTTAGATTTGATGCCATATTCAAGGAAAAAAAAAAAAAAGGGGGGGGGACAAATTACACTTTTTGTGACTTAATTAATTCCCATTAAAGCTTCAACTTCAACCTGAGCTGAGGAATAATCAGTGAGAGTAACTGAAAACACCTGAGTGGGTGTTTACAAGCTTTAAGTCCATTATGAGTCAAATTTAAATCCTATTTTACATCCATACCGGCACAAAAGTACAAAGGATATGAAGGAAAACTGGTATTGATTCCATGTTGGTTTCATTTTGTAGTTACAGCGTGATCAATACAACATTTTACCCCCAAAACAATAAATAAATAAATAAAAATCATATTTAAGACATTAAAACAGACTGAATACGACTGATGGTGCAATCAAGAAACATTCACACACATCATCATGATTGTAAGAACAATAAAGACACTGATTGTTCATCACTGCCTAGTATTAAAGGTCCAGTCTGTAGGATTTAGTGCCATCTGGTGGTGCAGCTGCAGATCGCAACCATCCTCCCCTTCCAAGTGTGAAGGAGAAACTACAGTGGCTGTGAAAACACACCTACCCAGAGCCGGTGTCTAGTTTGTAGAGACATGGCGGTTGAACAATCCTCCTAAATGTTACACACTGGACCTTTAAATCTACATACGCACTGAACCAGTACAGCTGCACTGCCACACTGGGATTTCTCTCTGCTCCCCACGAGGAGACGGATTACACTTTTTAGGGGGGCTCTTACATTGATGTGTTTTTGGCATTTCCTGAGAGTCTACGTCGGTGTGGGAGCCTACAGAGTGGCTGTCTGAGTTCCGGTTTCCTTCCCCCAACTTCTTCAGCCTGTTGAGACGCTTGTCCGTCTCCCGTAACCCGTACTTGCTGTTGATCACCGGCACCTCCACTGGCAGTCCGGCTTTGGATTTGAAAGCACCAGTGCCCCGTCTGCACGACGACGGCGACAAAACACAGGACAAAAAGGTAAAGAGTCACTGAAACACTGAGTTAATAGCTTCACTTATGGGAATAATGTGTATAAAGTAACCTATGATACTGTTACAGGGCTGCACAATATGGTTGATTATTATGATTTTATGATTGCGATATGATTCGAGAGGTAATTTCTGCATTAAAATTAATAATTTTGACTGAACAAATTATTAAAAATTACATTCATGTGACATTTTTGGGGCTCTGAACCAAACAAACATGTTTTCTTACATCTGGAGAACAAGGAATCTCTGCAGTATAGAATTATAACGCTGTTGGTCATAACTTAGCAGCTTTTTGCGATTTGGATGATATTTTGATTAATTGTGCAGCCCTACACTGTTGTGCATTGTATAGCCTACATGTTGTTTTACCCACCGTTCACATGTATAGCATTCACAAAACTCATTGTTTTCCCCGAAGAACCCATCTCCGTAGTAACACGAGATCTCTTCTCCTGGTTCAATGTCCCTCAAAACCTTCACACAGGCCGTGTCCCGCCCCGTCGACACAAACTGAACGAAACATAACACAGAAATAAAAGTTAATTTACTGAACACACATTGAACAGCAGCTGATCCAACGATGTCTTAGTGGTTGTTTTTAAGAACCTACCTTGCAGTTTGGCCGACAATCTGAAAAAAGAAGAGACCAACAGAAAGAATTAATATCCTGAAGAATACTGGAGATTACAAACACAATATCTTTCACATTAAACACTTCTCCAGATTCAGAACCTCATTATGTTGTGACCGTACTAATGACACCCAATCACCAGAGACGAGAGGACTAATAATACCGTGATTGATGAACGCAGCTGGTCCCAACCAGAGCTGCGCGCAGTTCTTGCGGGTTGAATACATGACACTGAAGTCGTTCTCGCCGTGCCGGAGCAACATGTTCTCCTCGCTCTCCGAGAGCTCGGCGATGCATCCCACCAGGTACTCGATCTTATCGTTTCTTTTCCTGCGGAACAACACGAGGTAGAAAGGTTTGGTATACCGTCCCTCCGAGAAGTTCAGATCCAACCAATGCCCCAAAAACCCGTCTGTAGAATCACTGCTGCTGTTAAAGTTACTTAGTAATTAGTTACTAGGTAGAGTAACTTTTAAATGACTGCTTACATTCTCTTATTAATGCACACAGCTGTCAGATATCTTATTTTAATGTTAATTTATCAGCAATCAGCAACAAGTAGCGTCCTCCCTGTAAGATACACTTATAATCTCAGTTAGTAGGTTGAGACCCGCACTGATGTAAAGTTTACATCGTTAATAAATAATTATTTGATGAAGAGACTGAACTGTCTCAGCCATCGTGATGTTGTGTGATGAAGATACGCTCTGAAGCCGTTGTCTGCTATTTAGTAATTGTTAATCGAGTTATTTAATTTGAAAACTTTTCCTCAAGTTTTCCCGTCGTTAAGCCGTATGTCCCCAAAATACAGGCCATTTTATTCCCTTCGATTTTTAATTAACTATACAAAAAAAAGTCATAAGTTTTGCAGTTTTCAGTTTCTCCCACTAATTTAAAAACAAAAAATTTCTAAAAACATCGGAATTTTTAGAAAAGCTGCTGTGAAATCAGGCATTTTAACCCGTAACAATCCCAAAACCAGCCAGTGACAACACATGGCTCCTACGCAGCTTTCAGCCTGAGAGTTAATATTTGTGCATCAAACCATTACAGAGCAGTTCAAACACAGATAAAGTTAGAGCAGTTGAATGTAAGTACTAGGTGAGGGCGGAGGAGTGTAGTGTGTCGACTGGTGGTGTAATTACAATCAGAAATATCAGATGGTATTATGCCCTCACCATTCCTTTGTTGCCACAATTTTAGCTCCGTTTTGCTCCGACGAATAGCGATTACAAGGGAGAATCTCAAACCCGCTGTCCGTGGCAAACATCCGCAGATACACAAACACCTGTGCGAAACATAAAGTTAGTCACCGACTGTGTAACAGCGATGCTGGAGGATAAACACAGTAGATCTCAGGTAATGTGTTTTTACATGCTGCTTGAAAAGCTTTTCTTGGGCTTTCGTCTTGTGGATAAAAAGATTTCGGGACCAGTCTCCGGAGGTCAGAGCTCTGAAAGCTTTCTCCAAGTTGTCGTGTTTCTTGAAGCGCTCGATGATCTCCTTCAGCTCTTCTTGTCTTCCCTTAATTGGTCGAAATCTGCGAGTGGAAGGAGGGAGGGCGTGTTAATGGTGCACAGCAAACACAAATGTATTTTATAAGCGTCACGATCATCAATCCGCTGACCTTGTGTTCATTTTATGAGTTTGAAAGCCCAGGTATGGATCCAGGATGAGGCTCGTGGTCAGATCGTCGTTCTCACACAACTCCTTGGCAGTCATTCCAGAGGAGGGCACATAGCGCCTCTCCGCCTCCAGACTGGCTGCGTTAAACCCTGAAAACACAGACGGGCGTTAGTGCGAGAGCCCGACGAAGAACCTGCACCTTCGATCGCATAAACACGCTCAACTTACTGCGGCTACATCTTCGGTTTCTGTTTTTGCTGTGGCGCAGGGACGCCCGCTGTGAGTGCTGAGAGCGGGTCTGGCTCTGGCTCACCGGTTGTTCGCTGGTCAACTTGTTTCCGTGTCGTCTGCCATTTAATACCATGTTCTTGGATTCGCCCAGCCACTTCATGCCCACAAGCCCCCTGGTCCAGTTGCATTTAGTCTCCGAGATGAAGAAACGCTCTCGAGTGGGGAAGACTGGGGTCTAGAGTTTGAAACCTGGAGGCAGAGCAGAAACACGAGGAGTTTATTTAGTTTACACAGACTGAAGAGATGCGAAAGCAAAACGGGACGGACCGGAGGTGTGCTGCTCACAGACGGTGACGTTACAACTCCTGAGTGAGGGATTCACACACACTCAGGACTGTTAAACAACATTTAGATGCAGTTCATTCGGCCAAACAACAGAAACACCTGAAGAGAGGAACCGATCACTCACAGCGAACGCTCAGAAAATATTCTACAACCAGTAAAACCAACAACTGGTAGCTGCTCACCCAGAGATCGCTGGCACGGCTAATCAATCAATCAATCAATCAATAATATAAATAGTTTATTACAAGCTGAAGTAAACAACAGTGAATATAACACATTATTATAGAAAACTAATAACAAGTGCACTCATTAAATAATAAAACATATATATATTTTAAACTCTAATTATGTCTGAGCTGTGGCAGCAGTTTGTGGACCCGGACCCGGCGGGTTGTGTCGGTCCGATCGGGTTCAGGCACAGAATCAAAGCTTTAATAACTTCTATCACAAGTTGGAGCAACAAAGGGAAGAAATAAATGTCATTTATAGTGATCCTAGTTTAACAATTAAAGGCTTCATAAAACAAACTCGTCTCGAACTGGAGCTCTGTAATAGTGTGTAATA